CCTAGGCCTTACCTAAGCGGCGTTAGCCTTAGTGGTTTTGGTATGCCTTAGGCCTTGACAGCTGTTATTAAGGGTGTTGAGGAGGAGAAATCAGCTGGCAACTAGTAGTCGTATGGAAAGGAATGGTTTGACGGGCACATCTACATATATGTACATATGTATCTATGTATCTATGTACCTACATGTAGGTACGGTACAGATGGTACATACATTTACAGATGGAAGGTACAAACATACGCAATTCGGAAAGTGCGATACACTGTGAGGGGTATTTAATATCTTAGTCGCCGCAGGCCCAAGCTTAGAATTTCTCCATACATATATACAACCATACTTCGTACCTTTTTTCTCCTCCAGCGAATTTTACGTCATCAATTCGTTGCCCCGCTGATCGCCACTATCGCTATCAGTCAATCAAAGCACCGAGTTTCCTTTTAACAACTTTAACAACTCCTTTCACCCCTCGACATTCCCAGCCTTATCATACCGCACTGCGCATCTATTCTTAGGACTACATTCGGAACTTGTCCTAAGCATACAAGATGTCGAGCAGACAGCTGAGAAAGCTCCAAAAGCAGAAGGAGCGTGAAGAGCTCCTGGCGCACGCCCCGACCGAAACTGCGGAATCCGGCGAGGATGAAACCCCCGTCAAGAAGCTAACAGCAAGTCGATTCTCAGGATTTGCAGCTCTTGAGAATGAAGAGGAACAGGAACAGGGCGATCGCGATGGCCACGACAACGAGGGAGATGAGCTAGTTGGGGCTGCCGAAGAACCTTTTGTCGAACCTGATCGAGCCGCCGATACCCCCAAAAGCTCATCCAAGAAGAGTAAGAAGAACAAGAAGAAGACAAAGAGGCAACAGGCTGCCCCCGTCAAGGGTGAAGCCGCTCTGCAGAGCGGACCGGATGAAATCGACCAAGCTCTCATGGAACTCGAGCGTTCCAAAAAGTCTGGCGAAGGAATCGGTAGCGACGATGACCCAGCCAAGCCTTACGAGCGAGTCTGCAACCTCTTGAGCATTAACTTGTACCATCTCAAGGTTATTAATGAGATGCGCAACCTTTTCGGTCGAGAAGCCATGACCGCTGCTCAGATGGAGGAGGAGCAAGAACAGGTGCGCCCTGGACGACGTCGACGACCCCCCACGATGCAGCGAGCACAAGAACTCGACATGGAGACCTTCCTCAGGGGAGAGCCGGGCAAATCCTTACCAGAAGTGGCACTACGACGAAATCCCTTTGTGTCTGGAAAGGAGACCTGGCCAGTCTCTTCTCCGCACGGCCTGACGATGGAACAAGTTAAGGAAGAGGGAGTGGTCCATACGCCTGGTACCATCGAGTTCCGTTTCGCACACGAATTGGAATACCAGAATCTGGAAATGATGTTCCATCACGTCGCCTCGCAGTATGACCCTATTGCAATGGTGCAATATGTGCGTCATCACCCATATATGATTTCCGGCCTCACCCAGGCCAGCCGAATCGCCAAGCATGAGCAAAACTGGGCACTCGCTGCCGACCTTTGCGAACGAGCCCTCTTTTCCTTTGGCCGGGTCTCACTGTCAGCTTTTCGACAGAAACTAGAACGAGGGCAAGCGAGACTTTCGTTCAAGAGACCGGAGAACCGTCAGTTTCTGCTGGCTGGATATCACCATCTCAAGAACTTGATCATGAGGGGCACCTACAGAACCGCGCTAGAATGGTCCAAGCTACTACTCAGCGTAGAGCATGCCGATCATTACGGGATCATTCACTTTATCCACCCGCTCGCGATTCAAGCGCACGAGTCAGAGTGGTTCATGGATCTATGTAATTCGCAGATCCTAGATCTGGACCTAGCCGTCCAAGATGCTCAAGATTACATCAAGCAGACGCTCGTTTTAGCTAAGCTTCAGCAGAACGACACGGCTGGTGCCAAGGCGTTGTTGGTCGATGGCATGGAACGTTTGCCTTGGCTTTATAGCCATCTCTTCAAGTCACTCAACCTTGACGTTTCCGGGTCCATATGGGGCACGCAGCCACGAAACCAACAAGAGGAGCTTCACACACACGTCTACGTTCACCAGACAAAGGCGCTATGGGATAATGTACATGCCATAACCCTCCTCAAGGAAGCCGCGAACGAGGCGAAGAAGATGACAACATTCCCTCCCCCTCCTCCTGTCACGGCCAACTTCGCTCGATTCGTTTACTTGCTAGAGATTCCGTCGTTGATAGGATCAGTACCACGCGAATTGATAGACTCGGCAGTGAACTGGGAATTTGACCCACTCCCGCCTCCTTTCCATGAGAACGTCTTCTCGTACGACACGCAGAAGATACCGTGGGAGCGTCCACCTAGCGTTGAAGGCTTGGCTCCCCGTTGGGCTCGACGCGATCACCACAGACTTGTTGGAATATTGCGCGAGTTGATTCGGACGGGTGCCCCGATGGAAATCCGAGAAGAGATCATCCAAGCAATGGAGGTGGCGGAACGAGGTTCTGAGGATAGTGATGATGATATCGATGACATCGACGATGAAGACGGCGACAACGACGATGACGCCGAGATGGAGGAAGCTGGAAACGGACACCCTATTCGTGGCATAGCTTCTTTCTTCCAAACCGTGAGGGATCTGATCAACGTGCGCGGCGCTGTTTACGATTTGCCCGGCGACGACATCATCACCGGTGGCATGCCAGGAGGGTGGCACGAAGAAGACTCGGCTGATAACGAGCTGCCCCCTCTACTACGTACAGATGACTCCAATGATGACGATGGCGCGGACGACGGGATGCCTAATAGTCCCGAATGAGGCCAACGTACCAGACGACGACACGCCTCCACTAGGGCCGCTATAAATAGTAGGCACATTTCGTCACTCTCATCAATGGATCTCGTCGCAAGGATCTCATAGCAAGGATCTCGTAGCAAGGACTGGTAGCAAGGACTGGTAGCAAGGACTGGCAGGCAAAGTCTGCATTGTGTACCTCATAAGTATCTAGGCAAAGCTAAGCTATCTCAGTTTACCACCCGTTGCGGTGGTTCCTGCAGGGAAGCCATGCGAGGACTAGGAAGACGTATGTAGATCATGAATCGATGGTTGCAAACTATCTGACTATGTAGGATCGGTGTCCAACTTTGGGCATTGTTCGATGTGACCTTTGCATTTTACATGCGCAACGCTTCATGCCGGATACAGACGTCAATTGTTGCTATCCGCCTATGGCTCCGAGATTTAATTTATTAACTGTTAGTTCATTATTAACGAGCGAGTTTGAGCAACCGAGACCTGCGGCAGTCAAGGCGAGTTTCATATGTGGGAAAAGGGGGTTGAATAGGAAACTTGCTCAAGTTTCATGAGGCTTGCGCTCTTTGTTGGACGTAGCACGCGAAAAGTAAGGTGAGTTATCAGATGTACACCGATAGTAGAGGTTATGGCCGTAATCTACAGTATAATACCTAATGTGACAATGCGCCACACTGTGTTATACAGGTTGTATGAGTTCTTTGTGCGTAGGAAGATGCTCGGAAGGCGGGGTGACGATACCTAGGAGGGGTACCTATTTAGGTATTTAGGTACCTGTGTAAGGTACAGGTAGGACCTAGAGTTATTAATTCCTAGAAGGCACTCGCTGTCTCGATCACGACTTACCTACCGTACCTACCTAAGCAGGCATTATTAATACAAAACTTCGTGACTGCCGGCCGTGCGACCATCCCTGAGAGACATATTTAATCTCATAGTTGTCCCCTTCCCGCCTCCTTCGCACTTACATCTATTGTATACAGCGAAGTCAATCTTCATTGCAACCAACGGTTCACAATCCCACTTCACTTCTACTACCCCGCCAAATTAATACTGCGGATCGATACCGGCACCCCTCATTTTCGCAAATCGCAAATCAGAAACCAACACTTTCACAATGGCTGACCAGGAGCACACCTACAAGTTCAACGTCACCATGAGCTGCGGCGGCTGCTCTGGTGCCGTTAACCGAGTCCTCGGCAAGCTAGAAGGTGAGATTGTTCTTCCCCTTCAACACTCTCCCTACCTTAGCAATCGACGCCCCGTTCCTCTTTTCCGGTCCTTCGAACACGACTTGATAGATCAACGGGGCCTTATGCTAATTATTATATGATTCAAATAGGAGTTCAGAGCTACGATGTCTCCCTCGAGAAGCAGGAGGCCGTCGTTGTCGCCAAGCCGGGCCTTGACTACGAAACCGTCCTGAAGACGATCAAGAAGACGGGCAAGAAGGTCACCTCGGGCTTCGCTGACGGCGAGTCTCGAAGTATCGAGGTTGTGGAATAAACGGCTGTCGATTGAGTCACGACGACTTGAAACGGGGATGCTCGGGACATTATCTTGCTAAGGCGATGGCTTTTCTTTAACGAGGGGAGAGCGAGGCATGGGCCGGTCGGTGCTTTATCGTCTATGCGTTGCAACATTTTATTCCGTCTGTTTTCATGAATAATGAATGATCATCAGGGACCTGAGCATGAGAATCACGGAGCCAAGCCTCTACGCTTATAGCTTGCCCAGCATAGACCGGTGCTAGATACGCGATTGCGCTAACAGTACATCTATTAAACACGCCTCTGATAATACAGTGTAGTGAATCGTGTTGTGTCTTTTCTTCTTTAACTGCCTCCGTAGGTAGGTACTTAAGGTAACCATACCCAACGACTACTGCTATTATATACGTGTCAAAGTCACATAATTGCACCTTTGCGCAAGAGTTACTGCTGAGTTTCTGCTGTCGGGCTCTCGTGTACATGGTAACTGTACGGTCCACTGATGGATGCTAGACCTCCGTCCACCGGACTAAGCGGCCGTAGAGGCCACCATAGCTGCATATCTTAGCGCACGGATGTCTCATCACCAACCAACCAACCAAATTGCGCCATTTGGGAAAAACAGTCCGCCCTCCTGCTGTTTCCCTTACAAGCTGTTTTACGGGCAACGCATTCCATCAGCACCACACTACGAAATCGGCGTCCTCAGGGCGTTAGTTCATCTCGATTGGTCTAGTGGTCAGGATACCTGCTTGTCATCATAAGGCAAGAACGCAGGTGGCCGGGGTTCGATTCCCCGATCGAGAGTACATTTCTTTTGCTTTTTGGGTTCTTTACTACCTAATTCTTTCCTTTTGAATTTTTATTCATGGCGTCGTAACTCTGCTCTTACCTTAAGATTGTTTCCATGTGCATCTTCTTCTTTTCTCTCTTTTAATTGCCTCATAGTGTGAGAAGGATATATAGGCCACAAATGACTAATAATAACTAATTCGTATGTAATCAATGAGAAGAGTCCTTTTTTTTCTCGATTGTTACAGTCTAGTTTACTATGGGTACGATATAAAATAAATAACCGGCAGTAGTGAAGGTATGTTTACTAAAGGTTGCGAGTTGCCTATCGTGGAAACCTCCAAAGGTAGAGGAGTGCCCGTCAAATCCGGGGAACTGCAAGTGATAAAGCTCAAGCACGGTGACGTCGGATGGTTCTGGCTGCATGTTTCGCTGCAAGTAGTCAGTCATATCACCTATTTTTGTTCTGCCTTCGTGAGGAGGTAGTGTTGTAGTAGGTAGTATGCAGCACCACCTCATAACAACCGAGGTAAGCCCATGTGTTTTGAGACATCTACAAATAGAAAAGAAGGTTGATATGATATGTATGTAAACCGGTGGGCGTTAGCATTTGGAATATCTGCCTTATCTTATGTTTAGAACGAGCAAATTCTCTGACCCTAGACTTTCGCCTGGTCCTTCTCCCTGTTCAGTTGAATATAGCCGCCGGCTTGACGGAAAGCTTGACCAAGACGATGTCCAATAATAGCCCTTCCCGATACCAGTTTTCCCACAGTTGATCCTCACGGGGTTAACACCAGTTGTGACTTCGGGCAGAGAGGTCCCGGACTCTGGGAGGAATGTCGTATGGATGTAGGGTTTCTGCTGCGAGAAAACAGCTTGCTAGTATGGGCGTTGAGTTATGATTGGGCCGAGATGCCTCGATGTTGGATCGTGATGCGGGTTCTAGAGTCGAAAACCGGGCGACGGAGGCACGAACGTACTCATATGATTGGACTCCTTTTATGAAGGACACTCTACCATGTGAGCTCTCCAGAAGCTTCGCCCGAGTCACGCCGTGGTGTTTAACTGCTCTTTAAACCCCAGATATTTATAACCCCTGATGATAAAGCGATGCATGCATGACTATCTTACAACCGCATAGTGTAGATCATCCGTCGTGCTCTGACGATCCTTATCACAATGGCGCTTTCTAGCTTCTTGCCCTCTATCATCATTCCCGCTCTCCTCTCAGCCGTCGGCGTACAAGCTCATGGCATCGCTAGTGCGATCGTCATAGATAGCACCTTGTAAGAGAACAGAGAGAACGCACGCGATTTCATGTGACTGACGCTTGAATATAGCTACGATGGCTACAATCCGAGCTACCAGTGGAAAAGCCCACCTCCCACGGTAGTGGGCTGGTCCGTCCCTGATGACCTACAGTGAGTTTCGTCGTTACCATTGCGTTCATCATAGGCGTGAAACCTGAACTTGACTGATCTTTGACCCATCTAGAAACACCTTCATCTCCCCCGACAAATTCAACACCCCAGATATGGTGTGTCACCTCGGTGCCAAGCCGGCGGGTGCGGCTGCTCCCGTGAAGGGAGGCGACGTGATCGAGGTTCAGTGGACGCCGTGGCCAGCCTCGCACAAGGGACCCGTTCTGGACTACCTCGCGAAATGCGACGGAGCTTGCGTACGTTGGCCCATCTCTACATAACGACTTGAGTTTGTGAGAGCATCTTGACAGAGAACTGACCGATTTGAAGGAAACCGCCGACAAGACCAAGCTCAAGTTCTTCAAGATCGGCGAGTCCGGCTGGGTCGACAAGGCAAGCGACTTATGGGCGGCCAACGTGCTCAACAACAACAATAATAGTTGGCTGATTCGGATACCCGAGGATATCGCACCGGGGAATTACGTGCTGCGACACGAGATCATCGCCCTTCACGCTGCTGGTAACGCCAACGGCGCCCAGAGCTACCCGTTCTGCTACAACCTGGCGATTGACAGCAAGGGCACCGCTAACCCTTCTGGCATTCCCGCGACAGAGTTTTACAAGGCTGCCGACCCCGGTATCAAGTTCGACCTGTTCTCTCACCCGACGGCATACGTGATTCCCGGTGTAGGTCAGACCTGATAGTGTTGTGCAATTGCGTGTCAAAGCTGACATCTCTTAGCCGGCCTTGTATAGTGGCGCGCTCCCGGTCAGCCAAACGAAGCCGGCTCCTATCACGGCCACTGCCACTGGCGTCTACGCCTACACTGTCGCAGCGAATGCTAAAGCAGCAGTCGCATCACCAGTGGCTCCCGCTGCTGTTGTGCCGACTACGCTCGTGGTCGCGGCAAAGGCGGCTTCACCAGCAATGCCAAAGGCCACCCCGGCATTATGATGTATTTGATATCGGTTCGCTTATATGACGCAGTTGAATGGTACTATGTAAGCAGGCTATTGTCAATGTCGCGTCGGCGCTAGGCTATTCGGGGTTCAATAGTGAGGCGCGCTCGACCAAGAAGTAGGAATATATGTTACCAGATGCTACAGGATGAGAGTACGAGGCAGTCCAGATGCCGAGGACATCAGTTAGCTCAGTCGGCCAAGATTTATGGTGACGAATATCTCGTGAAGTATACCCTCCGTCGCAACTCGTCTTCTGTTTCAGTCCTGATAAGGCATGCCGTACGGGCTTTAGCTGTATTATGTATCCAGTTTGGATGTTAAGGTAGCGTGCGCCCCCCATGTTATCAATATAACCCTTTTGCCTTTCGTCTATTGAAATGGTCCTGTCCATCCTGGTAGACACGTGCGATTTATGGGTTAGACTGGGTGAGATCGCACAGATAACGGTCGACATACTTGTTGCGGTTATGAACATCTGTGCATGTATTTCGGGGGACAGCTCAGCTAGAACATATTGTAACCTCATTAATTTATCGTCCCAAAGAAAGATGAAACAACGTAGGGCCGTGATGATGACCAAATCAACCAGATGACCCATCCTCTCGGAAATGATGATGAGCCTTGGCGCCTCCAGAGCTTCGCTGCACATGTTGAACTACGCCCGAATCGGCCGAGTCTTAGCGGGACTGCCGGGCAAAGACAGAAGAAACGACCAGGGTTTCGGGGCTCTCGAAGTCTGAATAAGTCTTGGCAGAATGTAAAAGGAGGCTAGTCAGACTAGGATCCAATCACGTGGTTGGCTTATAATGGGCTCGGATGAAGTTCTAGACTTGTCCTACCTAGGAATGTACTTATACATAAACCTGGGCGCTACGGATCCGTACATGTATAGAAAATGACTTGACTGCCGTTGACATGAAAAATCCCTGACAGGATCGAATCCATAGCGACCTACCTTTCCAAGTTTCAACACCCGACACGGCCTAGATAGATGGGGAACTTGACCATGAGTTAGTCCTAGCTCCATTGGATCCTTTGAACCGGTCAATTTATTTTGGTTTCTCCCCTCGTATTATTCCTTATTTTCTGCACCTCGTCAGCTGGGGGGGTACATACCTACGGTCGAAGCGAAGCGAAGGAAGCGCTAATAGTAGGCAGTCAGATGTTCTGTTTGTCAGTATCTGGACGTATTGGCCGCCTTGGTGATGGTCCGGCTCGGCCTCGCTCAACCTCCATGAATCTCGGGTTCGCTTACCGTCCAGTTGTTTCACGCAAGCTGCTGCTGAACCCTAGGTAGCTGCAAATCCGAGACCAATGGACAACGGGAAGTCACCGGCGCCGGTCCATAGCAGCACTAACAGCCCCATCTACAGCTTCGTGGCGTCTTCGCGGAGTGTCAAGCGCCCCCGCCCGGTCAAGAGTTGTCTAGAGTGTCGGAAACGGAAATTGAAGTGCGATAGGATATCGCCGTGTTCTCAATGCCAGAAAGCGCAACGCGCATGTCGTTATGCAGCGGAAGGTGACGTGGTGAGCCTGAGCGACGGCTCAGATGTCGAGACGCCCGAAAGAACGGTGAAGCGCAATCGGGCTGCGACGAGCCAAGAGTCCGGTCCGAGCACTATCAATTATGCCGCTGTGCTCGAGGACCACGCAACCAGGCTTGAGCGACTAGAACGACAAATGCTTGCCAGAAAGTCGTCTATTGCAGAATCTAGCAGCACCCCGGCGCAACGGCCTGCCGCGTCGTCGCTGACAATTCGCGGCCTCACGGTGAAGGGAGGGTTGCGAACTCGGTTCTTCGGACAAAGCAGCACGCGCGTCCTAGTCAACCTCGTAGGTTGTACCCTGTGTTATCATCCCTTAACATAGTGTTAGATGGCTTAACTGACCGAATTGTAGTTTGACGAAGCGAGGGACTTCATGTTTAGTAGGAACAAGTCTAGCGATATTAGAGATATGTTCCTAAATATCCAGAAGATCCACAAAGCTCTCCAAGATGAACATCGCAAAGTCGCTGCCCCTATTTCTGTATTTGTGGACTCCATGACACCGATCCAGAAACGAATGGCAGATGTTCTACCGAACAAAGCTGTTTGCGACACGCTCCTCAACGTCTACATAGGTGCATCTGAGACCATCTATCGCGTTCTGCACATACCCTCGTTCATGCGGCAGTATAACCGATACTGGGAGGGTAACACTCAATCCTACGCATTCCTACCTCAACTCCTGTCGATATTGTGTGTTGGATATCGGTACCTCGGAGCTGGCAAGGGGCAGTATCATGATCGGGAAGGAATACACATCCCGACGGCTAGCTCTCTTGTGAGGACCTGGCTTGACGGTCTTCGGGGCAAGCAACTGGTCGAATTCGGCACACTGCAAGCCGAGATCCTCCAGCTCATGGCTCAGAGAATGATCAACCCCCAAAACCAGGAATCCTGGACCCATCTCGGTCTCATCGTGCGAATGGCCATGACCATGGGTTTACATCGTGACCCTTCTGAGTTTGCGCAGAAGATACCACCTTTCTGGGCCGAACAGAGAAGAAAGCTATGGTACACGATATTGGAACTCGACGTACACATGTCCATGCAGTGTAACCTCCCTTGTTGTATTCGGGAAGGC